TTAAAAAAAAAAAGTAAAAAGTCCACTTGGTGGCACACACCTTGACTCTTTTTTTTTTTCTCTCCCCAACCCCAGATGCGCCTGCCTCTGCCTCCTGAGTGCAGGAATTAAAGGCATAGGCCACTACCGCCTGGCCAGCACACACCTTTAATCCCACCTAGCATTTAAGGCAGAGGCAGGAGGATCTCTGAGTTCGAGGTCAGCCTGGTCTACAGAGTGAGTTCCAGGACAGCCAGAGCCATTACACAGAAAAACCCTGTCTTGAAAAACAAACAACAAAAAGGAGCTACTCCGTATCTCTTTTCTCCCACGCTACTTCCTGTTTCATCAGCTAGGTTTTCTGGATGGAGCCCAGTCTTGTGTGATGGCTGATGGGTGTGTCACTTAGAAGTGAGTGTGTGGCTTCTGTGTGACTCCATAGAGAGGCTGTAGCTGGCCTCAGAGAACTCACAGTGTCGTGTGTGGTCCTTCCTAGTTTTGAACCAGCGGTATTTGGAGACCCTTGCCATGCTTGATGTCAAACAGCAGAAGGTGGCTCGGGAGAACATGGCTCAGAAGGACAGTGCCTTTACAGAGGTATCCGGACTCGAGGTACGTGTGCGCCCGGGAAAGCCGCACGGCAGGGAACGGCTGCTTTCCTATTCTCTGCAGCCTGCTCAGGACAGCAACATACTTAGCGCCTCAGACTCGGGTGCGAGAGACCCGTGACCGCCCAGGTCGCTTCTAGCCAGCTGCTGCTACCGTGCCACGCCTCCCTGCTGGGTGGGACTGGCTCTTTCCAGGGGCTGAAAAGGAGTGTCACGGAACTAAGGCTGGGTGGGCTGTACCGCCCTTGGCCGGTGTCGGGTCCTCTAAGACTGACGCATTTAACAGGCTCTGACTCAAGCTCCATGTCACACGCGAGGGGAGACGGGAACGAGGGGTGATTTTCTCTGTCACACCGCTAGTGACTTACACCTAGGCAGACTGGAGTTAGGTGGTTTTATGGTAAATTCCTTATGAAACTTCAGAACGCATGGCACAATACTACAGACGGCCTCTGCTAAATTAGTAAGTGTACCTAGCTGCTATCATGGGCGGAAAACCGAAGGGAGGGTCTTCCTTTGCTTTCATTTTCTTTCTTGTCTTCCATGCATGACCCTGCTTCTTCACTTCAGCTTTAGTCTGGTTTTGAGGGGCCAGGGCTACATGTGACTTCATTATAGTCATTGACCAAGAAATATATTTATTTTTTGATTGATCTTTGTGTGTGGGCTCTATCTGCATGTACAACCTTATGCCAGAAGAGGGCATCAGATCCCACTAGAGAGGGCTGTGAGAAAGCCTGTGGTTGCTGGGAATTGAACTCAGGGCTCTGGAAAAGCAGCCAGTGCTCTTACCCACTGAGCCACCTCTCCAGCCCCACAGAGTAATTTTTTAAAAGAATGGAGCCATGATTGCTTTCCCCGGGGTAAAGTAAAATTCATTGTTCGTTCTGAGCACAGTCTTGTTGGAGGAGAGGGACACAGGGAATGCAGGCTACAAGGCCACGCCTACCACAGGCAGCACTCACTTTGGGTGTTAGTATTAAAGACTTGGTTAGGCTAAATTCTTGCTGCACATCCAAAGCTATTGGAGATGAATGCCAGGATTAAAGGTTTTGAGATTGAGAAGGAAGGAATGTAAACTCTTTTTGGAGTGTTTGTTGCAAGAAATGATGTCTCATTTGTGGCCATTTCCACTCAGATCATGAATTCCTGTTTTCTTTAAATATATATATATATATATATATGTGTGTGTGTGTGTGTGTATAGTATACATCATATATATTATACACATACATATACACTGTCCACTTTATTGAATCAGAGGCTTGACTAGCATGCGCATGGCTATGGGGGGGGGTGTCTATGTGGCTCAGACAGCGTGACACTTGGTAACAGGCAATGCCTTTGGGTTTCAAGCTTGCAGTCCTCGGCGCCTGCCTGTGTCGAGGTCCTGGAGGGAACCCCTGTTCTTGTGCCAAAACGGCAGCATCCACTCGGAAACTGGTTCTTCAGCTCAGACATGAGGTATTTATCAGATGTCTTGGTTCAGGCCCTTTATTAGCAGGAGGGTAGATGGCAGGATTTGCAATAATGAGTTTTATCTTAAGAGTCACTGGCTGTGGAACCTACGCTTGGTTTTATGTGCTAGAATTAACTTGTGCATTAGACTTCGTTTACCTGGTTCCAAAACACACATAGAGCATTGCGTGAAATCTGAAGCCAGGTAAAGTCGTTTGGCTAAGTGTGTAATTAATACTTCTTAAATTCATATTTTCTCATTTCTACATGGCCTTCAAATCTCAGTTAATAGAGGGAAACTGTGTTTACACTTAAAATAAGTAGAGTTGACCCTGGGTAGCAGGGGAATGACATAGGAGGACGCAGATAGACTTGACCAGCGGTGCCCTTAGCACCATCGTTTGCTGTCCGTGTGGCTGTGGGCAGAGTAAGCCTCAGTCCTCCTGCTGGTTAACAGGATGACAACTGTCTTGGAGGAAACAGACGAAGTGTATCATCAACAGGCCAGGCACTTAACCAGCTGATAGTTGCCCTTATAATTGGCAACTTTAATTAAGAATGTTTATGTGGCCGGGCGGTGGTGGCGCACGGCTTTAATCCCAGCACTTGGGAGGCAGAGGCAGGCGGATCTCTGTGAGTTCGAGACCAGCCTGGTCTACAAGAGCTAGTTCCAGGACAGGCTCCAAAACCACAGAGAAACCCTGTCTCGGAAAAAAAAAAAATGTTTATGTGTGCAAACCAAATTTATGATTTGGCAAAATTCTAAACGGTTTTACTGTTTGCTTTGTCTCGAGACAGGGTTTCTCTGTGTACCTCTGACTGTCCTGGAACTAACTCTATAGACTAGGCCAGCCTTGAACTCAGAGATCTGCCTGTCTCAGCCTCTCCAGTGCTGGCATTAAAGGCATGTGCCACTATGCCCAGCCACTGGTTTACCTTTCTTGAAGACAGAGAATTTAAAGCCTTTAGATCACTTAGGAAGGCTAGCAGCTACACATTAGCTACTCCTGAAGAACAGCATAGGACCACATGGATCAGACTCAAGCTCAGCTAGGGAGGTTCACAGCCTTAGGTGCTTTCCTTCTTTTCGGCTGTGCCCTTCCTCCAGGATTTGGGCGGGACAGGCACAGGGCCCAGCAGGGGCGGTGAGTTTCAAGAGCAGGGGGCTTGGCACAGGGTGCTGGCATCCAGAGGGCCGGTAGAATGGGCAAGTGCTGACTTACGCAGACAAGCTAGAGGGAATAGGGGCTAGGAACACAGCGATTCATATGAAAAACGGTTCCAGTTTCACCTCATGGCTCCCCAACTCTCTTTCAGCTGGAAGTTCTGCAGAAGAGTAAGGAGGAGGCTCATATAATGGCAGATGCGTTCAGAATTGCTTTTGAGCAGCAGTTAACGAGGAGAAACGACCAGGCGCTGAGACTAGCGCACGCAGATAAGTGTAGACGAGCGGCGTGGACCAACCGGCAGCACCCGAAAGACGAGGGTAACTACGGAGAAGGGGGTGCTAACTGCTTTGGGATATGGTCCAAGTCAGCACAGGAAAGAGGTATAACTGGGGCTTTTCATGTGGCTGCTGTTCGTTTTAAATTTAGCAAGTTTCGGGGCTAAACCGATGGCTCAGCACCTAAAGGGACTTGCTACTGAGCCTAACAACTTGAGTTTCATCCCTGACCCCAAAAGTGGAGGGTGTGGGGGAAGCTCAGAAAACACATCTAAAGCTCAGTGGTTAAGAGGTGGAGCGAGGATCCCGTGCAGGCCCTTCTGGCTGTTTGCATGGATGGGGCTGCAGCAGCCTGTGCCTGTCAGGCCTCTGCAGTATTTCCACGTAGCATGGTTAGTGATTCACACAGATCTGGATTTCTGCTGCTCCAGAAGACTGTGATGATCTGGGGCCTGAGTTTCCAACAGCGTGCCTCCCTCTCCAGGTCCCCACCCACCCACACCTGAAATCCACACTCCCCCATCATGCTGTGCAACCAGCAACACTGGTCCTTGTGGTTTTGTGAGAATGACTTCTGGATTGCTGCAGGAATTAATCAGCCTTGGCTTTTACTGCAGTTAACGTCAGTGAGAGTCATTTTCTCAGCTGGACTCTCCCACTCCATTCCAGGATATGCGTCCCAAAGGAGAAAGAAGACCTTAGGGCAGCGACTGCTGGGGATGCTCCCTTCAGAAAACAGTTCGAAGAGGACTGAAGACCAAGACAGCCCACAAGAAGTCCTTAAGATGCTAGTAGACTTGGTTAGTGCCAGGCCGTCACTTGGCTTTGGTTAGGGACTGCGGGTCAGATAATCCATGGGCTCCCATTCTAGGCCTCTTAAACCCTTTTCTCCACCGGGCACCATGCCCCAACCTCTCCCTGCCAGCTCTCCCCACTCCTGTGAGGATCCCTTCTGTGACAGCTGACGGGGTGTGTGTGTGCCAGTGACTGGTTCTAACCAGCTCAGCTCCCTGCATTTCTGTGCGGCCTGGAGTTATGAGCAGTTAAGAGTTCCAGACCCTTTGTCACCAACACGACCTGACGTCAGTCCTGGCACCTTCCACAGATGGCTGTGAAACAAAGACACCAAAGACACCGACACAAGTGCTCAGAGCAGACACACGTTAACTCTGCTGACATTTATTTGTATATGAATACATAAAAAACAATTCAGATACAGCTTTAAATATTTTTCACAAGTCAGTAGTACATGTTGAGATTACACACAGATATACAATCTTCCCCATCTCTAGGTAACTTACAGGGTTACAGAGAAGTAACACTAATTCCTTGGGTTTTTTTAAAGAAAGTTTTATTATCGTTGTTGTATGTATGATGTATGTGTGAGCACAGCATGCCATGGCACGTGTAGATTGGCTCTCTTCTTCATCTTTATGTGAGTTCCAAGGATTGGACTCAGTTAAGCAAGCATGCATTGAGTACCCTACTTAATGAGCCCCTCACTGCTGCCCTTCCAGCCCCTGGGGCTGGAGAGGTGGCTCAGTTTGTCTCCTCAGTTAGGAGCATTTACTTTCATTCCCAGCACTCAAGTAGTGGCTCACAACAACCTGTAAATCCAGTTTTGGAGGACCTGGCGCCCTCTTCTGGCCTTCTTAGGCACCTGCACACACATGGCACTTATACAAACCTACGCATAAATGAAAGTTTAAAATAAAAAGCACAATTTCACCCATCAAGATTGGAGCCTGCTGCCAGGCCCTGAATTTGATTCCAGGACACACATAGTGACTCCTCAAATTCTTCTCCAACACCCACATCATGGCACAGATATAAACATGCACAACAAATAAATTTTTAAAAATTCACTTAAATCCCACAGCATTTGATTCAAGATTATCCTAAAATATGACCAATCTAAATTTAGAATGCAGTCTTCTGATAAAGTGCAACGCTCCTTTTCCTGATACACTAACTGGTACTTCCCTAACTTCTGCTTACAGTTGAATGACAAAGAAGAAGCACTGGCTCATCAAAGAAAGGTCAGTTACATGCTTGCTCGGGCGCTGGAAGACAAAGACATTGCCGCCAAGAAGAATAAGGACAAAATTCCCACGAGCCAGAAATCCCCATTCACAGCCCCCTGGCAGGAAGTTTCAGGACGCTGTGTTTTGTGTGATCCAGCACACTCAAATGTCCATGTTTCTGACCCTGTGGGCTGTATTTGTTCAGTCCACCACCCCCAGAGAGATTCAGACTGCTCAAGGACTCTTAAAAGATCCCATTCTTTGCCATCAAATATATTTTAAAAATAAACCAGCTGGAATCAGAATTAGAGCTGTTAAAAATCAAGTCTGGAGCTGGAAATGTATCTCAGAGGTAGGACACTTGGTCAGTGTGCATAAGGCCTTGGGTTTAGCACATGGTGGTGCACACCTTCAATCCCAGCATTCAGGAAGAAGCAGGCAATCTAACTGAGTCCAGCCTGGTCTATAGAGCAAGTTCCAGGACAGCCAGGGCTCCACAGAGAAACCCTGTCTTGAAAAACCAAAAAGGCCTCAGGTTTGATGTTCAGCATTGTAAAGACTTTGAAAGAGAACCCAGAGTATGGAGGATCCTAATTTATAAATAAATCCTAGCACTTGGGAGCCTGAGCAAAAATACTGTGATTTGAGGGCCAACAAGATACAGCGAGATACAGATACTGCCAAAAACCACAAAAAGAATTACATAATGTTGATAATATTAAGAAGTTGTATGCTTTCTAAATATTTTTAAAATGTTAGCATAGTAATTTACAAAGCAGTAAGTTCGTTATGATATCGTAATACATGTATTAACAATGTCTGTGTTTAACCACATCCCTCCCTTTTAGTTTTAGGATGCAGCTCAAGTACTCAAACCTTTAACACGTGTTCTATAAGAAATGTATTAGTACTGTACTCTATATGTACTATGTTGACAGTTTATTTATAAAGTGCTTTTTCATATTTTGACAGTCTCAATGACAAGTATTCTTGGGAAAAATTCAGTTATTTCTGGAGCTGGGGAGATAGCTCAGTCGGTGCAGTGTTCCCTTACTAGCGTGAGGCTGAGTCCGATCCTCAGCAGCCACAGGAAAAGCCAGTGCAGTGGAGCACACCTGACTGTTGGAGATGCAGAGGCTTCCAGGCCAGCCAGCCCAGCCTAATAGGAGAGCCTCAGATTCCAGCAAGAGACCCGCCTCAAAAAAAAGGTGGACAAAACCCAAGGCTGACTTCTGGTTAGCACATGCATACACACATGTGTACACACACACACACACAATTACCGACTGATGAAGTAATTTTTCTGTTGGGTGTGGTGGTATATCTCTGTAAACCCAACACTCAAGAGGCTTCAAGCTTGCAAGTATTAGTAAAGCCTGGATGCAACCTAGCAATAAAAATTGTCTCAAAACCAAAACTAGAGCCAGTGGCATGTTCAGTGGGTAAACATGACTCGAGTTAGGAGAGACCCAACTCCCAGGCGCTGCCCTCTGAGTGCCATATTCCCTGCGGTTTATACTTGTCCCTACATAAGTGAAACTGGGCATGGTCGTGCACACCTCATCCCAGCACTCAGAAGGCAGAGGCAGGCTGGTCTATGAAGTGAGATCCTGTCTCAAAAAACAACCAAACAAAAAAACCCCATAAATAATAAAATAAAAATATTAAAAAAAACCTTTACTACTAGTATTTATTTAGGATAACTATATGGGTCAGATAAATATCAATATAATAAACAATACTTAGGATCAACTGTTAAAGAACCCTTATCTGCCATTTTCAGAAATTTTTATTTACCATTCCAAATTTTGAAATGATTGTCTTGTTCTCTTCAGTAATGTTATGGTGGGATTTTAGCGCTATTTCATATGAACTGCTAGTTCCTTTAAGTGCAGTTTTTTGGTCAGTAGAGACATTCTGTAGCCAAAGCTGACATTTACCTCAGCAGCTCTCTCATTCTGTCCTGGAAGTAACGTGATGGGCCCAGAAAAGGTCTCAGCTGAAGTTGCCTGAGCCATGATAAAGGCTACGTTTATGCTTCTGCCTGCCATGTTTTGTTTTGGTCCTTTGTTTTTTTTTTCAGACAGGGTTTCTCTGTGTGCCCTGTGTGTCCTAGAACTCACTTTGTAGAGCACGCTGTCCTGGAACTCACAGAGATCTGCCTGCCTCTGCCTCCTGTGTGCCTGAATTAAAGGTGTGCGCCACCACTGCCCACCTGCCTGCCATATGATTTTAATAAGAGTTGGACATCAATCAAGTTATTGAAATCAATGGAAAATGGTATGAACACTTCAACTCTCAGGTTATTAAGTTATATACTATATATCCACAGTGTGGTTAACAGGCCACACAAACAGTGGCTCCATTAGACGACACAGCCCAGTGATGCTGGACTGTACAACCTGGAAAACGGCAAAATCCCCTAACTGCTTTTCTCAGCATGTATCCCTGCCGAGCGAAATGTAACAGACTTCTTCATTATGAAACACTGAATATTAAAGAGAATACTTTAGCTGTACCCTCCCCCAGTGGACAGCGTATCTCATGATACAGTCTAAGAGTGACTACGACGTTTCTGGTCCATTTAGACTGTGGACGTCGTAATGTTACCTGAAGTCACGGACAGACGTGTTAGACAGGTAAAGGGAAAGTACAGTCATCACATGACTCTGAACCAGCAGTGTACTATCATGGATAGGGAGCTACTGAGGGATGACAAAACTGGGGTGACTTAATGCCTATGACCCCAGCACTTGGGAGACTGAGGGAGGATTGTCAAGAACAGCCTGGGCTACACTGCATGTCTCTGTCCCAAAACAAACAAAACCTCCACTCAGAAGGACTTGGTAACAGTCTTGCTCAGTCACTTATGTACGTCTACTTCAGCAGAGAGTGACTATTTCACACTCATTCAATTCGGATTTAAATAACAGGTCCCACAAAGGTCGGGCTAGTGCTTGCACAGTGGAAACATGGGACGAGGTCACATCCTTGTCCGCCCATGGCGGCAGGCACAGAGCAGTAAGGCACATCCACGCCATCTGTGGGGCTGTGGGGAACAGTGAAGCACACCTGTAGCCCTCACGGAGCAGCTCCTCAAGTGGGCAGTGACACATGTATTCAGGGAGACACTCGTACTAACACATCAAACACAAGTATACAACACAGAAGTCACACAATTTCTCCGATAGGAAGAGTACATAACAGGGTGAAGGCATGAAGCAGGAACACTGTATAACCTCTACATTTCTCTACTGGAAAAAATTCTACAAATGAAGGAAAAATAATTATAAACAAAAAGGCATATGTGGTTTTTTTTTTTACTTTTTTTTGTTAATATTTATTTATTTACTATGTATACAATATTCTGTCTGTATGCCTGAAGGCCAGAAGAGGGCGCCATACCTCATTACAGATGGTTGTGAGCCACCATGTGGTTGCTGGAAATTGAACTCAGGACCTTTGGAAGAGCAGGCAATGCTCTTAACCACTGAGCCATCTCTCCAGCCCCCAGGCATATGTGTGTTTTATAAGTTTGTTTTCTTTTTTAAGGTTAAAAACCTGCAAAGCTTGTATCTGATCCAGCTAGGATCTTACCTGCACACAGGCAGGAGTGCTTGCAGGTGTGTTAAGGCTAGCACAGGTATCTTAAATGGTTATCAAGGCTCTAAGCAATACAGAAGCCCATTAGTAGCCTGGCGTGGTAGCGCATGCCTGTAATCCCACTTGGGAGGCAGAGTTTGAGGCCACTTTGGGCTATATATTGTAGAGCCCCTGTTTCAAACCAAAAGGCATTAAAACCTAAGTCTGCGGTGCATGGCTCAGCTGGTGAAGGCGCTTGCTGTCAAGCATGACGACCTGAGTTTGGTCCCTCTGACCTACGAGTGGAAGAGAACCAACGCCTGCAAGCTGTCCTCTGACCACCACACATGTTCTGTAGCATATGTGCATGCATGAATACTCACACATACACATACGCAAGTTTAACAAAAAAATTAAAAACAGTGGCTTAGTATAACGATACAAAGGACCACATACTTGCATAGTGCAGTCCCTAAACCCAGCAGGGAAGAAGCTGGGCATGTGGCATGGACCTGTAATGAGTTCTAGGGCAGCCTGGGCAACACAGGCCAACCATACCTGAAAGTGTACAATATAAAATCTGGTAAGACACATTTTAAGGTTCTTTTGGCACTATTATCTCAGATTTAGCTGTGTGCTCCACTGCCATCAACCACCCACGCTTCACTAAGGATAGATTTACATTTTTGTTGTAGCTGTCAACCAATTCAGTGGTTTGGAAGCTAGACTATTCTGACCTTGTTTCTGCTATTTTCAGTCTTTGATGAAATATACTTCATGGATTGGACAACTTGGTGTCTGAAAGGCTATAAAAGGGATAGTGATATAATCAATACGTGCAAGACATGCTGTGAAATTCAACCTTAGGAAGAGAAGTGCTAAAGGGATTTTTTTTTTAAAATCACTTTTTTCTTCCAAACTCTTTGAAGGCATAATTCTGTCTGGTGTGGATGCAACAAATTATCAACTACATAGAAACAGGACAATGTCAACATTAACAGAAATGCATACATTTTTATGACCTCACAAATAAGTATGTACATTAGATAAATTGCACATGCGCTCCTGGTACTGGCATGAAAAGATTTAAAAATAAAATTAAAGTCATATGTGAATTTATCTTTACAAGGGTAACAAGTCAGGAACTCTTTTTTTTCTTTTAAAGATTTATTTTGGGCCAGGCATGGTGGTGTATACCTTTAATCATAGAACTCTGAAGACAAAAGTAGGCAGGTCTCTAATACCAAGTTAAGGGTCAGGGAGGCCCTGATTACATAGTGAAACCTTGCCTCAAAAACAAAAAGGTTTATTTTCATGTGTGGGGCATGTGAGTGCAGATCCCCAGGAGGCCAGAAGAGGGCAGCAGATTCCCTGGAGCTAGAGTGAAAAGTAACTGAGAGATGCCCTGTGTCAGGGCTGGGGACCTGACTCCAGCAAGCTCGCCTATCCTGAGCCCAGCCTCCCACCCTTTCTTTTATTACTATTTTTTTTAACCAGTTTCTCTCCAGTAGCTGCTATCCAGTACAGAACTATTCTCTACACCAGTCTGCCGACATCTTCACAAGTCTAGCCGGGCTTGACTGTACACCTTCCCTCTTGGAAGAAGAGGGCTGGGGAGGGTCATGTGACTTCAAGTGAGTATGCAGCTACCAGTCCCTATCAGTCACTCACGATTCTACCCTAACTGCACATAACATAGATCTTGGGGCGTATGGGAGGGTCTCCATCTATGCGCCCACAGGGAGTTACATCCATGTTGGATGCAGGCTTTCTGCTGTGGCTCCCCCACTGCTCTGTGAGTAAGCCTACTAATCTCAATGGCTCCCCCCCAAGGGAACTCTATGGAACCTTACTCTGGGCTGTCTGTGGACGGTAAGAGGGGGTAGGAATTGTTTCTATCTCAACAGAAGGAATTTTAGCAACAGCAGCCCATGAGAAAAATCACTATGTTATGCCAGTTCCAAGAGATACACAAACAAGCAAAGCACCCATCCACATAATAAGTAAATAAAAGCAAGAGATGAAATTCTCCCGTGAAAAGATGCATCTTCAGCATCAAGGATGAAAAAGCTCATGAATTTGTATAACTAGCCCTGTTAATCCTTATTTTCCTGGCCAATTCCCTTTCAGGCTAACTACGCTGGACCAAGCCATTCTGACTTAGCACTTTTTCGTTACTATTCTTTTCTGATAAAATATATAAGTAGCAGACTCTGTCATCTCTGACACAAGGTCTCATGATGACCTGTGGCTGACTGAGAACTCACTATGTACAGGAAACCAGGGAGACCTACCTGCCTCTGCCCACCACACCCAGATTATGAAGCTGACTCCTGATGTTCTCTATGTCTTTGGGAGGCTCTTATGCCAAACACTTATGAGCAGCCAAATTTAGTCCCTGTGTATACTTACATTAAATAAATTTGTACAGTTCTTCTATAAAGTTTATATCAATCTATTTTTTTTCTTTTTTTTTTTTAAGATTTATTTATTATGTATACAGTGTTCTGTCTGGCTTGCAGGCCAGAAGAGGGCACCAGATCTCATTATGGATGGCTATGAGCCACCATGTGATTGCTGGGAATTGAACTCAGGACCTCTAGAAGAGCAGTCAGTGCTCTTAACCTCTGATCCATCTCTCCAGCCCCCAATCTATTTATTTTTGTTTTGATTTTGAGACAGGGTTTCTCTGAAGCTTTGGAATCTGTCCTAGAACTCTCTCTGTAGACCAGATTGAAAATGACCTCACAGAGATCTGCCTGCTTCTGCCTCCTGAGTGCTGGGATTAAAGGCATGTGCCACCACTGCCTGGCATATCAGTCTTATTTTTTGAACCCCCAATGGGACTCAAGGAAAATGCAGAACAGAAGTGAAGCTTTGCTCTCCCAAACCTTCCATACGTGAAGTTCGTATGGGGCTGGAGAAATGACTCAGTAATTCGGCACTGGCTGCTTGCGTTTGATTTCCAGCACCCTCATGGTGGCTTACAACTATACACAGTTCCAGTTCCAGAAAATCTAATGCTATTTTCTGGCCTCCACAGGCACCAGGAATGCACATATTACATAGACATACATGTAGACAAAGCACCATACACATAATAACTTAGAAAAATAAAAGCTAAAGTGGCCAACACCTTGCTGAAATTCTTAAGGAACTTGAAGCATGCTATCTAGTTATCTCACCTAGGAACTATTACCATAGATTTGTGTCATTTATTTTAACAGTGCCAGGTACTGAAATCAGGGGCTCATATATGCTGGGAAAACTCTCTACCACTAAGCTACCCCTAACTAAACTCACTCTATTGACCAGCCGGCCTTGAACTCAGAGATCCACCTGCCTCTGCCTCCTGAGATTTAAGGGATAAGCCAGTATACTTCACCATTCATGTTATTTTTAGGATAAATTTTATCAGCAATAGAAAAATAACAGTCCGTAAACAAAGCACAGGTAAATAGCATTATTTACAATACATTATTATATGGTGACTAGATTCATATCCATTAATATGGAAAGGAAGGTTCTAAGTAAAAAACAAACAATAGCATGAGATGTAGTAGGTTTTTGTTATTTGAGAATGTTATATGTAGCCCTTGCTGGCCTGGAACTCAGTATGCAGACCAGGCTAGCCTGAAACTCTGAGATCTACCCCCTTCACCCTCTAGGATCAAAGCTAACAGGGGAGACAGAGTTCTCTGAAGGGAACAATATAAAACCATGGAATGATAAACACAAATTTCCCCAAAGCTGTTTCCTTGGGGACGGTAAAAAGGAATGGAATGGAAAGTATTAAGAAGGCTGGTCATGCCAGAATAACCAAAACAACTCAAGAGCTGAGGCAGGAGGATCACAGTGAGTTCCAAGTGGAAGAGTATTAAGGGAGGTGTCAGTTTTATCTTCTCAGGTCTACTTAGTCTGGGTAGTGGTTAGTACCAGCAAAACTGTTAACAGTATTTTTCTGTTTTAAATACTACTCCTAATGAACTTGAGGTGGTGTATCATCCAGAGCTGCAGATCTCCTAAAGCACTGTGAATTACATTTCAGAGAACTAGACTTATTTCTGTATGTTAATCATAAATCACAAATATTTTATTTTAAAATACATTTAATAAAAATAACCATACTTTTACATATTTTTACATGTGTAGAATATATACAAGTTCTCTTCTACAGCATTTAATGTTCCCTATTTTTTTTTTTATTATTTGCCTTTTGGATTATTTCTTTCAGCAGTGAAACACTGTCCATTGTTGGCTGTAACTAAAAAATTAGCTTCTTGGGCAATATTCCTGAAAGGAAAACAAAAAGGTTGTTCAGGCACTACATTCCAATGCCATTGGCTGACTTACAGCACCTGTTAAACATTAACACAGTACACTTAAGAACTACAGGACAAGTCGGGCTATAGTGGCGCACGCCTTTAATCCCAGCACTTGGGAGGCAGAGGCAGGCGGATCTCTGTGAGTTCGAGGCCAGCCTGGTCTACAAGAGCTAGTTCCAGGACATGCTCCAAAGCCACAGAGAAACCCTGTCTCGAAAAAACAAAAAAAAAAAAAAAAAAAAAAAAAGAACTGCGGGACAAAGGCTGGAGAACTGGAGCACTCACTGCTCTCTCAGAGAACCTGGGTCCAACTGCCAACAGCCACACAGCAGCTCAAAGCCGCCTGTACTGCCAGTTCTAGGGATCCGATGCCCTCTTCTGTTCTTCACAGGTACTGCACACATGTGGTACAGAGACATACATGCAAATAAAATACCCATGCGCATAAAAATAAATTAAATTAAAAAAATAACAGTCAAAAACAAAAATTATCCAGGCATTGGTGGCACACGCCTTTTATCCCAGCACTTGGGAGGCAGAAGCAGGCGGATCTCTGTGAGTCTGAGGCCAGCCTGGTCTACTACAGAGATCTGGGACAGAGACACAGACACACACATACCCCATCAAAAAAAAGAAAAAGAAAAGAAAAAAAGAAAAAGCTGGGTGTGCTGAAGATACATTTAGTCCCAGCACTCAAGAGGCAGAGGGAGGTGGATCTTGTAAATATAAGGCCAGCCTGGTCTACATAGTGCAAACCAGTCATAGATACATAGTGAGAGTCTTCATGCCAAAACAAACAAACAAACAAAAAAAGCAAAACAAAACAAAAATACAAAATGGGGACACAACGGGTGTGTGTGCCAGGGCTATAAAGTTGGCGCGGTCGTCCAGAGTGGGGAACCCAGATTTGGTCCCTGGAGTGTGCATGTGCACTACCTGTAATGCCAGCTCTGGCATCTGAAGCCTCTTCCGGTCTCCACAGACGGCAGAGTCACAGACAGCCACACAAAAGCTTATTATGAGGGGTGCGGTGAGGGTAGGAAGGCACCCATGGAGAGCTCTCACAACTGAGGTCTACTCAAAAGGACCTGAAGGATCCTCAGTTGAGGGTTTAAATAGCTCACGCTCCATTTTCTTAACTGGCTTCCAGTCACTAGCTATACTGGAGTTATTTAGTGCTTTCTGATGTAATTTCTTTCATTTGTTTGTTTGTTGGTTACCAATGGGGATCTTTACCTTGTTCTAAGGCCTCTGTTCTTTTTCGTTTCGTTGCCATGGCTGGATTTGGCTGTTCCTTTAGGGCTTCCGCTGGACAGTTTGGTCTTGGAAGCTGGCATCCAGGTGTTGGCCCTGGACGATTACTGAAATACTTAGTCTTCAATGCCTTTTCAAAGAAAATAAACCCAATGTAAGGTCCATCTCTTCTGTTTTATTTTAGACGAGGCCTAACTGCGAAGCACTGGCTGGTGTGAAACCTGGCATTAGCCCAGGCTGGCCGCCCACTTGTAGCACTCCTCCTGCTTGTTCTGAGTGTTGGGTGGCAGGCATGCAGCACCATGCCCAGCTCGAAAGTAATGCTTTAATGTTTGTACTGCATGTAGGAAAATATAGCCCCAAATTGTTGATAGCATTAAAAATAGTATGTAATACCCCATGTCCCAAAACAAAGAATCAGTATCAAGAATGTGGTTATAACTACTACAGATAAATATCCAGCATCCTACAACTGGCTGGTGCTGTTACTGCAGGAAGGGGGCTCACTCCCTTCTCATATTTCTAACAACAGCATAGACTGTACTGGAACCAATGAACTACAAATACAATAATACACTGCAAATGGGTGAAAATTCACTTAAACTTATACAAGGTTTCTATTAACCACTAGACTATAATATTGCAGCATTTACAAACTTTATAAAAGTAGTTTCCTCTCAAATGACAAGTTTGTCAGTTAATGCCTATTTATAATATACTAGGACTATCCAACAGCCACAGTAGTTTAATCACTCTAGATATGTCTCCCAGAGTCAAAGCATGGTGCCACATGCCTGTAGTCCACATGCCTATGGTCCACATGCCTGTAGTCAGGAGACTGAGGCGAGATCAGGACTTTTCTAAGAGTATAATGTATTTTGATCATTTTATTTCCCCTTTCCCAACTCCTCCCAGTTCCTCTGGACCCACCCATCTTCTTATTCTTCTCTTTCAAAAAAAAAAGTTGGTGGGCAGTAGTGGCACACACCTTTAATCCCAACACTCAGGAGGCAGAGGAAGGCAGATCTCTGTAAGTTCGGGTCAGCCTGGTCTACAGAACTAGTTCTAGGACAGTCAGAGCTACACAGAGACACCATTTCGAAAACAAACAAACAAAAAAATATGCTCATCTGAAATACAGCAGTTTGAGTGAACACACATACACACCTTAGGCAAGCATAAATTCTTACATGTAAAATTTAGTATCAGCCTGGACAGTGTTTATAACTTGGGGAAAGGACACAAATACATACTCCCCCCACACGATATAAATCTTCCTGATATTTAAAGGCTATTAGAAAATCTTAGACATTTGAATTTTGTTTTATATTAAAGCTGCCAAGATGATCCTTAGTTTCCTATTATAAGTACCTGTGAAGCTGTGATTCTAGCACACGGATTAAACAGGAACAAGCCTTGGATGAGATCAAGCAAGTCGTCTCCTGCTGCAATGAAGATGTGCTGCAGTGGGATCCCAGGGAAACTCTTAAAAGTCACATAATCTGGAAGACTACACATGTCCTGAAAGAAAATTTACAGTTCAAACTTAAAGGATTTAGAGACACAGAAATGAAACAAAGAAACAAAACAAAAAAGCAAAACATAAGAAAAAAGAGGGATCTGTCTGCCTGTGTCAACCGAGTGCTCGAATTAAATAAATGTGTGCCACCACTGCCTAGCCCCTATGGCTAACTAGTGGCTTATTTGTTAAATCATAAACAAAACATCACCACAGGTCTTGATTATAATTAAATGCCACCATGGCCACCTATGAGGATACTTTGTAAATTAGTTCAGTAACAGAGTACTTATTCAGCATGGAGAAGGCCTTGGTCCTTTGGCACTTTAGCACTAGCCACATAGCTGCACACCTACGCAGCAAACACACCTTGCAGAGCATGACCACCTCAGAGAACACAGAACGGCTTACCGGCCACTGCTCTTCAGTTGGTGTACCCAAGGTTTCAAATATTCTTGTTAGCTGATCAAGGTCTGAATCTCCAGGCAAAAAAGGAACCTAAAAGTAAGAAATAGACATTTCAAGGCTGTTATTGAGAATGATTACATGAAAAATGCTATAAAATGTTGTAATAAAAAAATTAAACTTAGGGCTGGAGAGATGGCTCAGTGGGTAGTTAAGAGCACTGGCTGCTCTTCCAGAGGTCCTGAGTTCAATTCCCAACAACCACATGGTGGCTCCCAACCATCTATCTGTAAGGGGATCTCTTCTGTCATAATAGAGCATTCATATAAAATAAAATGCATCAATAAATAAATTTAAAACAAACAAACAAACAACAGTAACAACAACAAAACCAAACCAAACCAAAAAGCCAAACTCTGCAACAATTAAACACTTACGTCAATAGGGCTGGAAAGAGCTAAAACAGCTGCTAAAAGCACTGACTTCCATTATCAGTTTATTGCTTGTCAGCTCCAAACTCACCTTCTGCCCTCTCTGTAAAAAGCAAATCTGGGCAGTTTCTAGCAGGTACATACATCAATTCTTCATTGATTCTTTGGCAATTTCGCATCATGCACTACACACAGCTTCCCTCAGCACCCTAGAGCAGATTTCCAACACACTCCACACAGCAGATTTTTAAATTTTATTATTTCCTATTATGAACAAATGCTTGCATGTACATCTGTTACCACGTTCATGCCTAGCACCCTCAGAGGGTAGACGAGGGTATCAAATTGAGAGCTACCGTGAACCAGGTGCTGGTTCTCGGGTCCTCTTCAGTCATCAGTCTAGCGCCCAAAAAGCTGAGTTTTGGAAGTTACCAGAAGAGACTCAAACAAGCCCTGGAATTCTTCCCTGGATGATTTCAGTGGTGGGCAATAGTGACTGTTGCTTACATCTGATACTCTTAGGATTAGTTCAAGTACTTATTAGCCAACTTTTCACTGTCGCCATCCCACTACAGTGGTGAGTGAGGGACTGGGTGGAACAGTCTCACTCTGTAACACAGGCCAACTTCAAACTCAAGGTAATTCTTCCTGCCTCAGCCTCCCAGGTGCTGGAATCACAGTGTAAGCCACCACACTTTATATTTTTAAATGTTCCTGAACAAATTAATGTGTGACTTGCTGTAGGAAGATAAGGCCTACCAGGCCGAGAGATGAGCCCACCTGGAGTCTACCTGAGGGCCTAGCAACAGGCACTGTCAGAAGTCCTGATCTTGCATAGCCAATGAGGGGGAGTGACCATGCAATATCACTGGGTCGAATGCAGTCTGGGTGTGGGGAGGAGGGTATATAAAGCTCTCCCCATTGCTGAATAAACAAGTCTGCTTTTTGTTTTACCTGACTCTTGCTGTCTATGCCATTGATTCTGTACCTTCTCACCCCCCAACCCTCCACCCCCCGCAGGGAGCCATTAGGACCCATCAACAGTTTGTTTTCTAACAGGCCTGGAGTTTGTAGAAGCTCTAGTAGGAAGAATTCAGAAATGTCTCAAGCTTGGGCAGAAAACATTTTATCAACTGAGTTATTTTACCAGCCTCTGTAATGGTTAATCTTGTCAGCCTGGTGGAATGTACAATCACCAAGAAAACAAACCTTAGTCAGGCAGGAGTAGGGCACTCCTTTAATCCCAGCACTCAGGAGGCAGAGGCAGGTGGATCTTTGTGAGTTTGAGGCCAGCCTGGTCTACAGAGCTAGTTCCAGGACAGCCAGGACTGTAACACAGAGAAACCCTGTCTCGAAAAACCAAAAACCTCGCTCAAGAGATTCACTGGGAAGGCAGAATCCAGGAGGGTGACAGCCTCTAGGGTAAGAAACAGCAGCAAACTGAACAGAGTTCAGAGCTTATATGGGGTTTCTTAGTTTGGGGAGGCTTCCCAGAGTGGCTTGGGATTGGTGGGATTTCAAGCCCTGGTCCCGGGGCCAAGTCAGGGTGTTTTCCTTGGCCCTTTTCACCCTATAAGAAATTCCCTTATGCTCAGAGGTTTGTCTTCTTTTTTCTTTTCTTTTTGGTTTTTGGTGAGGTTTGTTGTGGTTGTGTGAAGTGGAGCGTACTGGGGAAACTTTCCCCTAGTGGAGCAGAGCTGTTAACAACTTCCATGGGAAACCTTTCTTAGCCAGAGCAGAGTTGTTACATTTGCAATGGGGAAACCTTTCCCTGGAGCAGGGCTGTTAACTGCGTATTTATGATGATTCTGTTGTTATTCCTTGGCTCCAGACTGCCATGATACCGTCTCAACCCAGCTACGATGCTTACATTTGTAAATTGTGTTCAGTAAAGAGGAAAGACCCAATATAAGGTTAGGGATCCTGGATTAAATAAAAGGGAGTAGATATGAGCATTTACCTCTCTTCCATTGCCATGACTTCTCTGCCATGATGGACTATACTCTCAGGCTGTGAACCTAAACAAAGCCACCCTTCCTTAATGTGATTTGTCAGGTATTTTGTCATAGCAAGGTGAAAATGACCATGATTCCTCCCCAGTAGCTGAGGCTTTGTTTTGTGAGACAGAATTTTACCATGCAACTCAATCTAGTCTTGGGCTTACTTTGATTCTCCTGCCTCACTCTCCCACATCCTAGGATTATAGTAACTGTTGAAACTAACCTTTAACAAACTGACTTTGCTTATCAATTTCTTGTTGTAGGATTATGATGAAAAGATAATTCCTAAAAAATTATGAGAATTTTATCAACTGTACTTAAGCGTGTACATGAATTTAGGACTTACCCTTAGAAGCAATTCTGCTAATATACAGCCAACAGCCCACATGTCCACACCCACACCATACATCCTAGCTCCAAACAGTAATTCAGGGGCCCGGTACCATCTAGGAAAGAATGGAATAATATCATACGAGAATCCAACTACTAAGGCTAATGTTTTTTTTGGACAGGGTCTCACTAAGAAGCTCTGATGTCCTGGAACTCAATATGTAGACCAGGCTGGCCCCAAACTCACAGAGCTCTGCCTGTCTCGGCCTCCCGAGTGCTGAGGTTAAAGGCGTGCACCATCACTGTCCAGCTAAGACGAATTGTTAAAAGATAAACTATCCTTGCATATTTTTAGAACAAACCACTCACCATGAGTTCTGAAGCACCCTGCCTTGCCAGGTCTCAAGAATACTATTCCTGAAATTCTATCCAAAATTTATTTTCTACTACACTTTTCCCATTAATATGCTAACATATAACTTTTCTAAAATCCAAATGCATCAAATCCTTGTCTCATTCTTTCTTAAATTTCTTGTTTTTTATTTTTTTGAAAACAGGATCTCAAGCAGTCCAGTCCGGTCTCAAGATCACTAATTAAGGCAAACCCTGAATTAAGATTTATTGACTATTTTATGTATCTGTATGTATAACTTTATGCCAGAAGAGCGCCATCAGATCCCACTATGGAAGGTTGTTGAGAAACCCTGTGGTTGCTGGGAATGGAACTCAGGACCTCTGGAAGAATAGTAGTGCTCTTAACTGGAGAGAACTCCTCTCTAGCCCATACCTAGAAGTTTTGATCTTCCTGCCTCTGCATTCAGAAGTGTTGGGATTTCAAGTGGTGAGACACCATGTCTGACCCCCTAACTCATTATTATTATTATTATTATTATTATTATTATTATTATTATTATTATTTTGGTTCCTACTAATGTTGAAATTAAAGGAGCTTGACACCATGCCCCACTTAGAATTTTTCTGAGTGAAAAGAGTTATTCGGAGATTCAAGGTATAGTTAAGTTAATCACTATCTCATCAAAAATATATCTGAAGCCGGGCGGTGGTGGCTCACGCCTTTAATCCCAGCACTCGGGAGGCAGAGGCAGGCGGATCTCTGTGAGTTCGAGGCCAGCCTGGACTACAAGAGCTAGTTCCAGGACAGGAACCAAAAGCTACGGAGAAACCCTGTCTCGAAAATCAAAATATATATATATATATATCTGAAGACTGAGTTAATTAGATTCTGTCTGAAAGAGCTGTGTGTTTTTACTGTGGCAAATTAGACTTAATATAAGGGCTGGATTTCAGACGACACCAACAGGGACTCACTCCCGAGTTCTGCAAAGGTATTTCAGAGAAGTTAGCTGATGCTCAGTTGTGATGACTAGCCTAACACCTAAACTCTCAATTTCTTAAGGCGTTCTCACCTGGTCACAACCTGATGCGTGTAAGCCCTATTGGGACTCCCAAATGACTTGGCCAGGCCAAAATCTGCCAGTTTCAGAACTCCATTCTCATCCAACAACAAGTTGTTTGGTTTCAAATCCTGTATCAAACAAAATCAAGTAGGATTAGAGGAAAATGACATACATTTAGCTAGCCTATTTATTTATCTGAGACATTCTTATATAGCCAAGGCAAAATTACGGAGGATTCGAGGAAAACAGCATAATGATACATTTAGTTAGCTTATCTAACTACATACCTTACGTTTTAATTTATTTGATTCAGAGTCTTAAGTAGCCCAGGCTGGCTTTGAATTCACTAGGCAGTGAAAAAGGACAAACTTGACTTTCTGATGCTTCTACCTCTACTCCCAGAGTGCTGGACTGCAGTGTATGGAGCAAATGTGATGTTGAAGACTGGAATATAGGACTTCATATATGTTAGGCATGCAGTTTACTAACTAAGTTATGGCCTCAGCTCCTGTTAGCTTAACTTTCAAACAAGAAAACTAGGCATACTGGCACAGACTGGTAGTCCCAGCCCTTAGGAAGGTTAAGACAAAGGATAATGAATACACAGACAGCCCAGGGGTGGTAGTTTGAATGTAACTGGCCCCCAAAGGGAGTGGCACTACTAGGAGGTCTGGCTTTGCTGGAGGAAGTATGTCAGCCATTTATCACGGTTCTCCAGTTGTTCCTATCCTGGGCAGTCCTAGATGCTTGTGTTACTGTCATACCTGAGGTTCCACGTCTTCCTTTATGTTGTCCATCCAGCATTTTTTGGACCTTCCTCTTCGTCTTATCCTAGGCACTCTTCCAAGAAAGGAAGCTTTAACTTCCGTGTTTGAGCTAGCAAAAGTAATTGAAGTCGAGATAGAAATTCCTAGACAACCACAGTTGTCCTTTGAGAAGTAAGAATAGTTGATAAGTCGTGTGTGTGTGTGTGTGTGTGTGTGTGTGTGTGTGTGTGTGTGTGTGACTGTGGTGCGGGATCTGAGGTCTCTTTCGTTCACAATTCCCTCAGTGTAACACACAGACCAATTCCTGTTGTCTTCTGATCAAGATGTAGCCAGTGCCATGTCATTCTGTACACTGCCATGTTACCCGCCATGATGATAATGGTTTGAACCTCTGAAACTGTAAGTGAACCACCTTCAATTAAATGTTTTCCCTTAAGTCTGGCGGTCCTAGCACAAGCCTTTAATCCCAGCACTCTGGAGGCAGAGGCAGGTGGATCTCTGTGAGTTTGAGGCCAGCCTGGTCTACAAGAGCTAGTTACAGGACAGGCACCAAAGCTACAGAGAAACCCTGCCCTGAAAAAAAGATTTCCTTCTAACAGTTGTTGTGGTCATGGTGTCTTTTCACAACAACAGAAACCCTAACTATGACTTTAGCTAAAGGGGAAGACCCCATCTTCAAAACAAAAACCACCAACTGAGCTGGCAATGTGGTTCAGCAGGTAGAGCCATCTGCAGTAAACTTAATGATCTAAATTTTATTCTCAGAATCCACAGAGTGGCTGGCGAGAACTGACACATACCCTCCTTCACTTATGCACCTGCACTCACACACATGAACACATGCATTCGAAATACACAAAATAAAAACCTGAACTAACCAATGACAAAAAGTTTAATTAAACTTAAGCAGCAACATTAAAAGTCAGGTGTAGTAAAACACACCTACAAGCCCAGCAATGAGGAGTTGAAATCAGAAGAATCAAGAATTTGAGGACAACCTGGGCTACATGAAAAATCCCAGGCCATCCTTGAATACAAATCAAGACCTCTCATGGGTGGATGGATGGACGGATGGAGCATTACTTAAAATCTTACCCTGTGTAGAATCCAATGCTGATGTAAATATTCTAAACCCTGAAGAGTCATCAACATGTAGGCTTTAATGTGGGATGGTGTCAACACAAGACTACTGTCCTTTATTATAACCTATAAAGTAGACAGGCAACATACAAGTATGTTTCATTATTCCAAATGAATTCTAACAAATAAAAATACATAGAACTTACCCATACACATGTATTTTCTTTCTTTCTTTCTTTCTTTCTTTCTTTCTTTCTTTCTTTCTTTCTTTCTTTCTTTCCTTACTTACTTATTTATTTATTTATTTATGGCTTATTGAGACAGGGGTTCTCTGTGTAGCTTTGGAACCAGTCCTGGCACTCGCTCTGTAGACCAGGCTGGCCTTAAACTCAAAGATATTTGACTGCCTCTGCCTCCCCAATGCTAGGATTAAAGGCATACCACCATGCCCAGCTCATACACATGTACTTCTATGAGAGGTTATCCAACTTCCCTTTAGAAGATATCACATGAATTTCCAAAATTAGCAGGTTAAAAAGCATCATCATTTTCAGGAGAAAGCAATACTGTGCACCCTACAACCCTGGCTTAAAAGTATCAAATATCAGGGCTGGAAAGAGAGCTCACTGGTTAAGAGCTCTCTTCCAGGAGCCAGGTTCAATTCCCAGCACCAATATGGCAGCTTGCAACTATCAGTAACTCCAGTTCAAGAGGATCTGACATCCTCACAGACATACATGCAGGCAAAACACCAATGCACATAAAGTAAATAAACAAATCTTTAAGAAGAAAACAGAAAAGTGAGCAGTAGCATGGTGGCCAGGCCGGGCCACTGGGAGGGGAAGCGTGAGCAGCAGCGCAGCAGGCACGACAACAGCAGTGGCCTCCAGAAACTGTCTGACCACTGGAGCCTCAGCCTCACCAATGCCAGGAGGAATGAGCACCTGAGTCTTGGGCCCATAGGCACCTAGAGTTTGAGGCCAGCCTGGTCTACAAAAGGACAACCAATGCCAGGCGGTGGTGGCGCACGCCTTTAATCCCAGCACTCGGGAGGCAGAGGCAGGCGGATCTCTGTGCGTTCGAGACCAGCCTGGTCTACAAAAGCTAGTTCCAGGACAGGCTCCAAAGCCACAGAGAAACCCTGTCTCAAGAAACAAAACAANAGAGAGAGAGAGAGAGAGAGAGAGAGAGAGAGAGAGAACCAAAATATTGGAAGAAATCAACAAATTCCTTAAAGAAATCAAGACCAAGAAAAAGCAATCAAACAGATGAAAGAAATGGTTCAAGACTCGAAAACTGAAATAGAGGCAATAAAAAAACAAACCAATCTGGAAAAGGAAAATCTCAGTAAATAATCAGGAACTACAGATGCAAGCATAAACAACAGAATACAAGAGATGGAAGAGAGAATCTCAGGCATAGAAGATACGAGAGAGGAAATAGATTCATCAAAGAAAATGTTAAATCCAATAAATTCTTAACACAAAACATCCAGGAACTCTGGGATACCATGAAAAAACTAAACCTAAGAATAATAGGGATAGAAGAAGGAGAAGTCCAGCTCAAAGGTACAGAAAATATACCCAGCAAAATCATAGGAGAAAACCTTCCCAGCCTAAAGAAGGATATGCCAACAAAAATACAGGGGACTTCCCAGGGGAGGCCTTAACCTCTCAGGAGAGGATGGGAAGTGGGGTGGGGGAAGGGGAGGAAAAAGATGGGGGTGGGGAGGTGGGAGGAGATTGGGTTTGGTATGCAAATAAATAAAAAATAAATTTTAAAAAGCTTACAGAACACCAAATAGACCTTACCAAAAAAGAATACTTGTCACATAATCATCAAAACACTAAACATACAAAATAAAGAAAATATTAAAGAAAGAGGCCAAGTAACATATAAAGGCAAACCTATCTATCAGAATTACAGCTGACTTCTTGATGGAAACAATGAAAGCCAGAAGGTCCTGGTCAGGTGTTATACAGACACTAAGAGACCGCAGATGCCAGTACAGAATACTATATCCAACAAAGCTTTCAACCAACATAGACAGAGAAAACAAGATATTCTCTGTTGGGCGGTGGTGACACATGCCTTTAATTCCAGCACTTGGGAGGCAGAGGCAAGCAGATCCGCCTAGAAAGGAGAAAAAAGACAAGATCTCCTGAGTAAACTAGGTGCATGGGAGGCGGGGGGGAGCAGAGAGAAGAGGAAAAGAAGGTAGAGGAGAGGAGTAGAAAAAAATGTATAGCTCAATTAAAAACAAAAATTTTTTAAAAAGTATTGAATGTCTGTAGGCTTTGTTCGTACCTTCTGAAAAGTGCATTTAGTATTGCTTTGGGAAATCACTTCATCCCAGCTCAGGTCACATGGTAAAAGTAAGACCGATCTAACCTCTTCCCGAGACCCCCTCACTATAGCCTCTTTGCCAAGAGACAGGATGCTTAAGAATAGACATATGACCTATGACCTAAAACTTAATACCATTCAAGAAACCAAAATAATGCCCGTTGGTTGTGGTGCACACCTTTAGTCTCAGCACTCAGGAGGCACAGGCAAGCCAATCTCTGAGTTCGAAGTCAGCCTGAGCTATAGAGCAAGCTTCAGGACAGCCAGAGCTCCACAAAACAAACAAATCCAGAAACCCAAGTACTTACAGCAGAATCAAAGGGAGTCAAGCATTTCCTTACCGGGGTAATTAGACTAAGACTACCAAGCTTGGAATTGGCTGGGAAAATAGAGTGAAATGTAAGCTCATGACTGATGGCAACAGAGAGGAAAAGAGAACCGAACCCAATGATTATCTGTAAGCTCTGCTAGTTTATTGTAAGACATATTGGTTCCTTTTTATTACTGGGCAGTATTTTCTTATATGGGTGACGAATCTGCTTAAATATCCACTAGATGAAGTATATTTTAGCTGTTTCCAATTTTAATGAACACCCATACACCAAGTGATTTCTTTGCTAGCAATGTTTTTCCCTTAGATAAATAGCAAACAATGGTTGATAGATTACATTATTAGATAAATTAGGACTGCAATTTTACTAATGTTATTATACATAATATTATACATAATATTGGCAAATTAGTGGTACTGATGTTAGGACCTATAAGATATAGCATTGTCACCAGCCTGCATACTTAGTAAATTCCTTTTATTATTTGATGCTATGTTATAAAAAACCCCTTTTACCTTTGATCTGATAGTAAATGTGACTTTAATTTTAGAACAAACTGTCCTATTTTCAAAAGTTACTATATTACTTATTATATACATTATATATTACTTATTATATATACTATATTACATATTATATACAATTATATATGTAATACATATATTACAGCACACACACAAAACTGTTGCAATCAAACCAGCAATGTATGAAAATTCTAGTTGTTTTAAATCCTTGAGTTGTCAGGTTTTTTTTTTTAAAGATTTATTTATTTATTATATATACAACAATTCTGCCTCGATGTTGCCAGAGGAGGGCGCCAGATCTCAGTACAGATGGTTGTGAGCCACCATGTGGTTGCTGGGAATTGAACTCAGGACCTCTGGAAGAGCAGGCAGTGCTCTTAACCTCTGAGCCACCTCTCCAGCCCGAGTTGTCAGTTTTTCTGAGATTCAATTAATGAAAAGCATGAGACTTTAGAAAATCTAAATCTCTGTACTTAATACTAGAAGTACAGCTAAATGCTTTTTGACTTCTGCAAAAGAGAGCCATTTTTTGTGGGTCAGTATCCTATTAAAGCAAAACAAACACGCAGGTTCTACTCTCACTACATGGGGAAAGTCTCTAGGAACCCTAATCTTACCTCCAGGTCAGTTTCCATGAAATCAAAGACAAGGCTAATGTTAGATTTATGTCCAAATGCATCAAGGAGCTGCAAAGCAAAGTAAAACAAAGCAATTATATTGTTATTCTTTTTTTTTTAAATATATTTTTATTTATTTATTATGTATACAATATTCTTTCTGCGTGTATGCCTGCAGGCCAGAAGAGGGCACCAGACCTCATTACAGATGGTTGTGAGCCACCATGTGGTTGCTGGGAATTGAACTCAGGGCCTTTGGAAGAACAGGCAATGCTCTTACCCTCTGAGCCATCTCTCCAGCCCCCTTATATTGTTATTCTGTATTAATGTTGAAATTTAGTGTTGATGAAAAAATTTTTTTTTAATAATTATTTGTTCCACTCGGGAGGCAGAGGCAGGCGGATCTCTGTGAGTTCGAGACCAGCCTGGTCTACAAGAGCTAGTTCCAGGACAGGCTCCAAAACCACAGAAAAACCCTGTCTCGAAAAACCAAAAAAAAAAAAAAAAAAAAAAGAATTATTTGTTTGCTTCCTCCCCCACCCTGCCCCACAGTACTGGTAGATGCTCTAACAGAAAGGTTGAGACCAGATATCACTATGTAACTCAAGGTGACCTAGAGCCTGCCATGTAGTCCAGACTGGCCTGAACTCACAACCCTCCTTCCTCTGCCTCTATCTGTCAGGTAATTACAATACAAATGTGTACTACCTGACTTAAAATTTTAAACTGCTGGTAATTTCCTGTAAACATGAAAGTCTTTTATTAACATTCGCCCCATTTTTTGACAGGAGTTAGTTTTCTCAGGCACAAAAATATTAAATCTTACTTAACAAACTCACTAAAAACTTTAAAACTCCTCTCCCTAACCCCCCCCCCCAAGTATTAGAATTAAAAAAATCAAAATTCCACAAAATGCCCTGATAGTGGTGGCACATGCCTTTCATCCCAGCACTAAAGGTAGAGGCAGGTGGATTTCTGAGTTCATGACCAGCATGGTCTACAGAGAGCGTTCCAGACAGGCTACACAGAAAAATACTGTCTCAAAAACCAAACCAAATCAAACCAAACAAGAAGAAGAGAAATTTTCACCTTAGTTTCTAGTTGAAAAAATTTTTCTGGGACTGGGGATAGGGTTCAGCAGTTATAGCCTTGTCACACAAATATGAAGACTGGACCAGAGTTCAGATTTCAGAAACCATGTAAACTCCAGGTAGGAAAGGTGTGCCTGCAATTCCAGCCTTGGAAGGGAAGAAGGGCTTCCCAGAGCAAGTTAACAAAAAAACCACCCAAATCACTGAGCTCTGGTTTTGACTGAGAGTCTCTGCCTCGTCATGGTGGCGCACACCTTTAATTCCAGCACTCAGTAGGCAGAGGCAGATGGATCTCTGAGTCCAAGGCTACAGGGTGAGTTCCAGGACAGGCAGAGCTACACAGAAAAATCCTGTTTCAAACAAAAGAAAATAAAAGCCGAATAAATAAAATTCTAAGCAAAATGCTTAAGAAAATTCTTGTCAGGCAAAGTGATACACACTTGTAGTTCCAGTACAGTAATTACAGCAACTGACTGTAACACCTTAGCACAACAGACTCCATTATGGGAAAACCATTCAGGTCATAAAACTCAGCGTGTAGACAGTACCACCTGCCAAATGAAAACAAAGACCTAATCCATCAAAGTCCACAGTTCTGGGAAAATGTACTGACCTTGCTTCTTTTTGGCTTCTATAACTCCAATTCTGGCTAACTGTTCTTATTAACTGAAGAATGTCAACCCAGAATATGCTTTTTGTGTATAAAAGCTCACTTTAAGAAATGCTTGGTGCTACACTGGCTTCCAAACAGTCAGTGTAGTTGCCAGCCAGTTAATAAGATTCATTGACTTATTAACTCTATTGGCTTGAACCCAAGCCTGAGTTGTCTTCTCTGGTGGATACCCCACAATATCAATTACTTGGAAGGCATGATCACCTGAGTCTATGAGTTCAAGGCAACACTACACAAAAGGCCACCAAACAAAACAAGAAAAAGAGTCTCTTCTAAAGCGCATCTGTCATCCACTGAATGTGTGACTGCCCACTGCAGGTACTACTGCAGACACCATAAATGCCTTCAATTGGCTAGCCGGCAAAAATTGAAAGAATATATTCCAGCCCTTATGCACGCAAAAAGAAAGGTTCTGTATCTGAATGCAAGCTGCTACTTTTAACCCTGTGCCTACAGCTCTCTAGGATTCAAAATAATTTCTGACAAAATTGGACTGTATGGCAACACCTGACTCAGTTCATCATCATGCATAATGCTAATGATACAGCAAAAGTGGGACACAAGATACATTTCAAGTCAGGTGGTGGTGGCGCACGCCTTTAAAGGCTTAATTAAGCCCAGTAATTGGGAGGCAGAGACAGTTTGGTCTCAGTGAGTTTGAGGCTAGCCTGGTTTACAAAGCAAGTTCCAGAACATCCAGGACTGTTGCACAAGAAACCCTGTCTTGGAAAAAACAAAAAATAAAGAAAATAAATTTCAAGCTGACCAACTTTCAAGGCTCAGCTACATCAACTCATCTTGCTGAGCCTCTGATCAACATTCACCATATTCAGAATATGAAGGATCCCAAAAGCAAACAACTTAGATCATACTCACACCAATTATATTGGGATGACTGAGCTCCTGTAACAGTTTTATCTCTCTTAAGGCTGTTCTATTTATACCTATGGAAAAAGAATGAAAAAATGAACAATGACTCTTTTACAAATCTTTTACAAATGCGTTTTTTAGGAAAGGCCATTTCAAGAAATAAACATTTCACACATAAAAAACAAATAATTTTTACTATTTGTATAAGTTCTTTTTCTCATTGTTTTAAAGTAGCTTAACATCATCTATGAAAAATGGTGAAGTACTTATTTCTACAGCACATCACTCTGAAACTCCTTACAACAACATATACAGACATGCAACAGACGTGATAAATCTTCTCTCCTGTCCAACAAACATTAGAGGAAGACTCTGTGTGCTAATAGCAAAATGGCACTAAGGACACCTTTTTTTCAATACAAATGACGGGCACTTTCACAGATGAGGACTTTTTCATAGTAACTATTATCTGATGGCTAAACCAAGTCTGACACTCTAAGAGGCTTTGGAATAAGAAGTAAATCTTTCCCTAATGTGTCCAATTTATAGGAACTTTGTGTTCTTCTGTGAAGATGTATCCTTCAATTTTTCAAAGCAATTAGAAAACCAGAAATGCGCTGGGCGGACTTAATCCCAGTACTCGGGAGGCAGAGGCAGGTGGATGTGTGAGTTCGAGGCCAGCTTGGTCTACGAAAGCTAGTTCCAGGACAGGCTCCAAAGTTAGAGAAACCCTGTCTCGAAAAAACAAACAAACAAACAAAAAAAACCCAGAAATGCAAAAGATTGTAACGACTTACAACACCAAAAACAGCACGGAGGACATCCACTCAAGGGCCCAACAACCTTACTGCCCTCCATTTAATTTACATGATTTGAATCCTTCCAATACTTTTATGTTGTTTATTTTTCTTTTTTTGGCTTAGAGACAGGGTTTCTCTATAGCTTCAGAGCCTGTCCTCGAACTCAGATCTGCCACTACCGCATGGCTTGAATGTTGTTTCTATCAGGATTGTCTTTACTCTTGAGACCAGTGGTCTCAACCTTCTTAATGTTGTAAACTTTTAATACAGTTCATGTTGTAGTGACCTCAACCATAAAATTATTGTTATTGCTACTTCCTAACTATAATTTTTGCTACTGTTATGACTCATAATGTAAATATATGATATACAAAATATCTGACACACCAGCCCTGTGAAAGGGATGTTTGACCTCCAAAGGTGTTGAGAACCACTGTACTAGATAGAGACACTGTAATAATGCTATAGAATTATTGTCAGCTCTCACTGGCATTTTCCTCATCTCCTCAGATCAGAATAAACGCATCTCCTGTTTGGTCAAATTATATGTAATACTTACCATCTTTAGCTTCTGATCTGTGTCCAAGTTTGATCTGGGAGAGAAAGTGGGGGAAACCAAAACACATTAACAATGTGCGGAGGATGGAGGTGATGCAGGGGTTGAGAACACTGAATGCTTCCAAAGGATCCAGGTTCAATTTACAGCCTACAACCCCCAGCTCCAATGGGATCTAATGCCCACTTCTGACCTTGTACAAGTGGTGCACAGACAGACACAGAAGTGAAACACCGATGAGTATACAACAACAAAAACTTTGAATAAACGTAACAAAAACTCGCAATGTGTTAATATATAATCTATATGCACAAAAACTTATGCTACAAGCAGGACTGCCATGGTGGTGCACACCTGCCGTATCAATACTTGGGAGGCAGAGCCTGGGCTACATAGCAAGATTCTGCCTCAAATAAATCCAAACAGCTAGACTGGTGGGCATTCCTTTAATCCTAGCACTCATGAAGCAAAGCAGCAGATCTCCTGAGTTTGAATTTGAGTAAACTCAGGTTTACATCCTGAGTTCTAGACCCTGTCTTAAAAAAGTATGTAGCGATAATGTAGAACAAGAGAACAACTGGGAATTCAAAGGCTGAAAGTATTGCCCAGGAACAAAGTGAGTCATGACAGTGGAAGGCAGAGTTGGAGCTCCAGCACAGCAGGACCAAAATGAATCAAGCACCTACTTTAAGTTTCTGAACTACACATGCAAACAACAGGCTCATCTGCTAACTGTTCAATTTAATGTTAAACATCGGACCCACAACGTAGAAGCGAAGAATTACCACAAGCTGTTCTTTGACATGTACCACAAAACATGCTGTGGTACATGTAAACACACACACAATAACTGATTCCTTTATGCTCCCGCCTTCTTTGTTTTTTTGAGACAGGGTGTCTCTGTATAGCCCTGGCTGTCCTGGACCTCGCACTGTAGGTCAGGTTAGCCTCAAATTCACATTGATCTGCATTGAGTGCTTTTGGGGAGATTAAAGGAATTAAGGTTTGCATGGTGTACCTCCACAGCCTGGCTCCACCTTTTTAAGTTTTTATTTTGCTTTGTTTTTTAGAAAGGTTCTTGCTATACGTAGTCCAGGTTGGCCCTAACTTTCAAATCCTCATCTTAGCCTCTGAATACTATGCTTATACGTGTTAATTACTACATCCAGATCTCCTTTTATCTTCTCAAGTTAAACAGAGACCAGCAACAGAGGGTATGCTACTTTATTTCTCCAAAATTACTTTAATTTAGTATACTTGGGAGAAAAAAAAAATGGCATGAACAGAAAAAAACACATATAGTTGGTAATACGTCCAATAATCCAATGTTTTTTACAAAACAAACTCACAAAATGTAACAGATGTAAGAAACTGACTAAGCATAGCTCACTATGCTAAGAAGTTTAGTCTTATACAAAGCAGTAACCAGGTCAAAGAGCATTCTGCTCCTAAGTACTTTATACAACAATTGTCAGTCACTGAAAAATGAACTCTGGAAAATACGTATACTTCCTTTAGAAAAAAGCTGCTAATGTATACTACAAAGAGAACCTTCTATTTAAAAGCAGGCCACATATCACAGCACAAAATGTAAGACACAGGGCACTGACAAACTGATTATGAAATTTATATGGGGAAGAACTCAAATAGACACACAGTAAAAATAGAATAATATCAAACCGGGTGGCAGTGGCATACACCTTTAATCTCAGCAGATGGACCTCTGTGAGTTAGAGGCCAGCCTGGTCTGCAGAGGAAGCTCTAAGACAGTCAGGGTTACACAGACAAACTATCTCAAAAACAAACAAACAAAAACAGAACAAGAAACCCCCCATGAAACCAACAACTAAAAATTATCTCATGAAGTCCTTTATCACCAAGATTGAAGTGATTAGTATTCCGCTATGCTTAAGTCAGCTAAAAATTTTTAAACAACTCCAAGACTTCACTCCATTCCCCTCATCCACTTACACAAGCTGTCCTCTAACATAGCAGCATGGCTCTCACCTCGAGATACAGACACATACACAAAATACTTAAAAATTCAAAAGCAAAAATCAGTAATATAGGCTAGGAATGTGGCTCAATGACAAAGCACTTGCCTAGAATGCTCAAGGCCCTGGGTTCAACCTGCATACACGCTCATGCAGGTACACATGCATACATACAAATAAAAGTTTAAGGGGGAGAGGAGTCCTGGGAAGATGGTTTGGTGGGGAACATTGGTTCTGCAAGCATGAGGATGTGAATTCCAACCCTCGGCACCTATGTAAAAGGCCAATCGTGACTATGTGTACCTGAAGTCCCACCATGGGGAGACTGGAACAGAAGATTCAGAGGGCTTGCTGGTGAGCCAGCCAATCCCAGTCTGTCTTGCTAGACAAACCAAAATAGCAAGCATCAGGCTTTATTGAGAGCCCTTGTTTCAAAGGCAATTAAGACAAACAACAATGGAGGAAGTCATCAGCTGTCCTACTGTGGCATGCAGGGGGAAACCTGAAAAAAAATGTGCACATACCACAAATACCTAGGAGACACACTCACACAGCAACGCAAAGATAATGACCCAAAAGCCATCAACAGGGCAAACTGGCTAAGTAAGCTAAGAAACAGAAAAAGCATGACAATTCCATGTAATTTTTTAAATATTCATTTTATGTGCATGGGTATTGCCTGCGGACCACATGCATGCTCTGTGCCTGTTGAGGACAGAAGCAGATGTTGGATCTCCTGGAACTGGAGTAATGGACAGTTGTTAGCTGCCACATGAGTGCTAGGAACTTGAGTCTTCTATAAGAACAGCCAGTGCCCTTTACTGTTAAGTCACACGAGCAGTATTTTAAGAAGTCCAAGTCATAGTAAATGTAAAAGCAGTTTAATGAGTATTTTTTTTTTTGTAAAGTCAAAAAGGTTGTCAGCAAATGAACATGAGTAGAAATTATGAGTGTTGGAAAAGGAAGGATCACAGCACCAAACCTCAATGTTCACAGAAGTACAAATGATGTCCAAGTTTGAGGGAAGACCCTCAAACCAGCCAAATGTTCAGGAGATAAATATCAATGGAAAGTTAAAGAAACTGAAAAAACAAGAGATAATATAGTATGTTAAAAGCCTTTGCTTATTAGTAACTTTTAAAACCACAAAAATGAATTATTTGAAATAAAGTAAGTATTAAAGTCACCTTTAAGGAAGAAACATTTTATAATGACATAGGATACCTAGAACAAGAGATAGAGGCAGGAGTTACATAGTAACTTTGGAGGCTGGTCATAAGGGCTTTTAAAAAGGAGAAACAAGCCCCTTGGCTGCAGCACAGACCTTTAATCCCAGCACTCGGGAGGCAGAGGCAGGTGGATCTCTGTGAGTTTGAGGCCAGCCTGGTCTACAAGAGCTAGTCTAGTTCCAAGAGAGGTTCCAAAGCTACAGAAAATCCCTGTCTCAAAAAAACAAAAACAAACAAAACAAAACAAAAAAAAAAAAACAAGTGACAAAGAGGACCTGGGAGGCTGGAAGAGGGAAGCCTGGTCATTCACACTTCAAGGGAGTAATGAACGTATAAAGGAGGAAAACAGAATATGGAGGTCAACAACACCAACAGGCCCTGAGTCATGTAGGAAAAACAGAGTGGTCCTGAGATGGCTACGGAGTTTGGTCGTGTGAGAAAGAGCATCGGACAGCTCTAGTCCTAGCCTCAGCAACTACTAGCTGTGTGATCTTGAAGTCATCTAACTCAGGTTCCTCAGGGTGAAACAAGGACACTTTGACACATTCTACAGGCTGTCTGAAGGCTAACTGGGGGAAGAAAAGTAAGTCGAGGCGTCTGGCGTGCAAGAAACTATGTCAGAAGCGTTCTCAATGAATTTAAGTTTAAAAGTCACTTCAATCATTTTAGAAAGGGTACCACATCCGCGTTGTTAATGCTGATGAAAACCTTTGTGCACAGATAACAGCTATAACCACCTGTGGCCTGGAAAGACCATGGCATCCAAAGAACTGAGGAGATGGCAGTACCTGCCTCCTTGGCCAACAACGACCAACCTTTATGGAGCAAAAAGTTCTAGTTTATATCGTTTGAACAAAAACTGGTTCAGCTCGAGTTCCACTTTGAAACACAAGACCCTAATTGTCTCTAGAAGGCGGGCAACTCCCACCATCAGAGCGTGATGGTGCGTATTAAAACAGAGCAAAACGTAAATACCTGCAATCCCGGCACTCGGGAGGCAGAGGCAGGAGGATTTCCTCGAGCTGGAGACCAACCTGGACTAAATAGCAAGGCTGTCTCAAAGACAACTGGTCATGCCAACCAACTGATCATGCACAAGTATTCTTCTGTAAGAGTTGCCTGGCTGGAGCACGCCTACGAACCCATCGCTCGCACGGCAGAGAAGCGGAAGGCTACAGCCAGTTAGTTCTAGGCCAGCCGGGTCTAAACAGGCGGCTCAGAGCCAGCGAGGGCTACGTGGCAAGCAAGACACAAAGACCAGAGCGACAACAACGTAAAAGGTAACTCACTTTCTTAATGGCGACAATCTGGTTGGTGTTCTTATCTCTGGCCTTATAGACCGTAGCAAACTAGAAAGGAAGACAGTGAGAGGTCTTTACGTGGTTGGTTCTGGGTCCCCACCTCCACCCCTTTTTTAAACCCGGGATCTGGAGCGGACTCGCAGCGGCTTGCTAGGCGGCCGGACGGCCTCTTGTCCAGAAGGGAGGGAGGCCCAGGAGGCTGCGACCGGGCACCAGTCAGGCCACCCTCCCCGAAAGAGAGCCCGCGGTGGCCAGGCTGTGCCAGCGCGAGAAGGGCCGCCTCACCTGTCCCTCCCCGAGGAAGTCCAGCTTCTCATAGCGCTTCGCTCGAGACTTCACGTCCACAGCCATGCGGGTGCGAAGCCTGACTCCAGCAGAAAGCCAGGGCCTCCACCCCGCAGGAATTTAAAGCGTCTAAAAGCTCCCAACAGCTACTTCCGTCCACTGGGCGCACACAACCTACTGGTTCCGCCCATACTTCCTCTGTGGGCGGGGCCAGCCCTACGGAAGCTGGTAGGGGCCAGGAGGGATGCCACGTGCGCACCGAGGCCGGGAGCGACGTCTCTTAGATGGCTGTCAATTCGTTAATGTTTTTGTGTTTGGTTTTAGCTTGGATTTGCTTCGCTTCCAAGGATAGGTCAGCGTTACGACACGGTGCTTCTGAGTTCGGGAATTTAGCTAGGGTGTAAGGCGTGGCCCCGCACCGGTTTTACTTTCCGTTGTCCTGTCGCCTTAGTCGCTATGGACGCCAAACCCCTCCTAAGGAGAGCCAAATTCTTAAAGGCTGATTTATGAACAGGCCCAGGGAAGCAAAACCCAGCCCTGCTGAACATTATGTTATAGAACATGTCTTTTGTCTTCTATAAAATCTAAACTCATGAATTAAGAAAAACAGCATTTAGACATAGTAACACTGTCAACCGTGATTATGCTTCAAGCCTATTTATCTGCCAGTTAACTGGCTCCAGCAATGGTTTCCGTTTGAGTCATATTTTTGTCTTCATATCGCTCCAGTTTGCAGGGTGGTTTTGCTGAGACCTCAATTCCCTGGTGAATTTAAGAATTTATTTTCACATTGTTCAGCTTTTTCTCTTGAGAAAACAAATGAAGCCAAAATTACTTCTAAAGCAAGAATCACACGTCTTAATGCCATTGCTTTTATGTGTATTTTATGTGTATGGTGTTTTGCCTGCACGTGTCTGGGTATCATAGGTGCACAGTGCCCATGAAGGTGAGGAGAGGGCATTGGATCCCCAGGAACTGGAGTTACAGATGGCTGTGAGCCACCATGTGAGTGCCAAGAACTCAACCTGGGTCCTCTGGAAGAGCAAATGCTCTTAAGAACCGAGTCATCTCCGTGCCCTTAATACATTTGTTAATAAAATCGATGACATCATTTGTTCAAATCGAGCTTCTACAGAGTTGACCAGGTCAAACCAAAGGGAGCCAAGCATCCTGAAGTTCCATACTAAGCAGAAACTAAGTCACTTACCTGACTTTCCAAGAAACTAGCAGCCAGATCTCCCAAACTGGCCGGTTTTAGGTGACAAGAAGAAGAGCTTTAACCCTTATGATAAAGGAAAGTGAGCCCAGTCAACCAGTCAGATCTTCCCCTGCTGTTCTTTGTTCTTCTGTGCCATTTCCATGCATCCTCTTCCATCCGCACACATCCTGTTCCACCAGGTATGGCAGGCACATAAGGACTCTGGAAGCTGACACAGGAAGGTTGCAATTTCCTGGAGAACCTGGGCTACAGACATAACAACAATAAAAAGACCATGTTGGTCACTGGGAGTTCTATGATTCTAGTATGACTTCTGCCTACTTCATGAATCACAAGATTCTGCAACAACATCACCAAACTGGTTGTTATTAGAACCCAACTTCTTAGTTAACATAAATTATGCTACAATAAAAAACTCATTTAAAGGGCTAGAGAGATGGCTCAGTGGTTGGGAGCACTGCCTGCTCTTCTTAAAGGTCCTGGGTTCAATTCCCAGCGACCACATGTTGGCTTACAACCACCTGCAATGAAATCTGGTACTCTCTTCTGGCCTACAGGCATGCATGCATGCATGCAGAACACTGTATATACAATAAATAAATCTTTAAAAAAAAAACTCTTTTAAGTAGCATGTATACTTCTAATCCCAGCACTAGGGAGGTAGAGACAGGAGTTTGAGACCGGCCTGATCTACTCAGTAAGTTCAAGGCTAACCAGGGATACAAGAGACCTTGTCTCAAAATAACTAAAAAAAATTAACACATATGTATTGCTTTCTATGTGCCAAATATTATCGTGGACCTAAAAAAAAAAACCATGAACCATAACATTCCTTTGTAGTGGAAGATTAAAAGATACTGCGGTCCAGACAATCCAGGTCCACACAGTGAGATCCTGTCTCAGGAAAAAAGTTAACTCTGAGACAGGATCCTAAATGCTCTAAACAGAGAGGCAACTGGGGCTCACAGTTTTAAACATGACAGTGCAGGGAAGATGTCACCGAACATCCATTAGGTTTTAACAAAAGAATCAGATTGTTTTATTCCATTTTACTTATTGTACCACGGTACACATTTGAAGGTCAGGTCTTCAGGCTTGAAGATGGGGTCTTTTTGTCCCACTGGTCCATCTCTCTCGTCCCAGATGATGTTTTGAAGAGTTTGTCCTGACTGCTAAGAGACCACACTGTAGACTGGACAGGGCAAGGAAAATCAAGAAGGCTTGTTGGTGAACTACTGTTGTAAAACAGATGGCTTTGCCAGAATGATACTAAAATTTTGGTTCCTAGCCGATAGGATCCCAGAACAGGCTGATCCCTAAATTATTAGCTGGAGTAGTTGTCAAAAGGCAATGTTTTCCTCTTTCTTTGCTACTGATGTTTCTAAGAATTAGTAATCTTAATTTTTAGAGATATGTTGGACATAGCAGCAGAGTACAAAGACTAATAATTGAGATGCCAGTATAGTGTAGAAGTGGCTCTGGATCCAGATCCCTGCTTTTGAATACTGGTCAGCCGGCACTTAGTCACTAGACGAATGACTTAAATTTATCTCTGTCTATACCTAGTTTCCTTCTCTATAACAGGATTTACTCAAACACTTCTGGAAGGCTTAAATAACTTTGCTGGAAAAAAAAACTTTGCAGGGGTGAAGCAAATGTCTGGCAACTGGTTAGCTACCTATTACTGCTTCAGCCTTTTGTCACCACTTAGGTCCAAGTAAGACACCTATAGACTGCAGAAAACTATCTTTTTGTTTTGAAGCCATGGGATGGAGTCCAAGGCCTTGTGAATGCTAGGCAAGAGCTCACTAAACTATATCTCAAGCCCAAAGTAATTCATCTATGTGTTTTTGTGTGGTGTATGCATGTATTTAGGGTGTATATGCAGAAGCTAGAGGTCAGTGTTGGGTGTCTTCATCTGATTTTACATCTGATTTACATCTGATCTTCTACATCTGATTTTTTTAAGATTTATTATGTATACAGTGTTCATAATCAAAAATAAAAGGTTTTTTTTTTGTTTGTTTGTTTGTTTTTGTTTTTCGAGACAGGGTTTCTTTGTGGCTTTGGAGTCTGTCCTGGAACTAGCTCGGTAGACCAGGCTGGTCTAGAACTCACAGAGATCCGCCTGGTTCTGCCTCCCGAGTGCTGGGATTAAAGGCGTGCGTCACCGACGCCCGGCAAAAATAAAAGTTTTTTAGGGTTCATGGAGACCTTTCTGGGGATCTTGTTCCATTTTATTATTACATTTATTGATTATGTATGTTGTATTCTGCCTGCATGTATTGCTGCAGGCCAGAAGAGGGCACTCTCATTATAGATGGTTGTGAGCCATCATGTGGTTGCTGGGAATTGAACTCAGGACCTCAGGAAGAGCCACCAGTGCTCTTATCCTCTGAGCCATCTCTCCAGCTCCACATCTGTGTTTCTGAGACAGTCTCTCACTAAACCCAGAGCTCACTAATTCATGTAGCCTGGGTGGTCAGAGAGTTCCAGGGACTTGTCTTTCTGCCTGCCCAGAAGGATTACAGGTACACAACTGCTCCCAGCTTTTCATTTGGGTTCTGTGGCCCTCGGGACTGCCTGACAAGCACTCTAATGATCGAGCTATGGCTTTACCATGAAATATACAGAACTGGGCATGTCAGTGCATGCCTTTAATCCCAGCACTGCAGAAGCAGGGATTTCTATGCATTTGAAGTCACCCTGGTCTATGTATGAGTTCCAGGTCAACCAAACTACATAGTAAGACCCTGTCTCAAAAGAAAGAAAAAAGAATAAAGAAAAAGATGAATTATATATTTTTCATGCTACCAGAATAGCTTATTACTAACATCAAATATAAACCTTTATTTCTCATCGGGACAACATTCATAGCCCAGAACTTGCAAGAAAAACAAATCAACTCTGGAATGACAAAAAAGTAAAGATTAGCCCACAGGCGATTGAACAAGAGAAAAGAACACAATTCTAGTCTCCATTGATCATGGGCTAGTCAACATTAAGGACGACTGCTTTATAAAGTATATTCTAGAAGTCATTATGGATTTAGCCAGCTGTGTCAAGATTAGCAGGAGAACCCATTATAGTTTCTTTGGTTGCCAAGTAAGTTGGATTTTAAGACTCTCAGCCATTAAGATAGTGAAAGTTATTTATGAGGATTTACAAACATGATCACAAACAGTTAGACAAATGAACATCCTTCCAGACGTAGTAAGTAGCTATTTGAGATTTGAATGAGTGGTGGAATTTTGTTCCTATGCTATATTCATCTTATGCATTATTTTTACTTTATGCTGAAAAGTTTCTGCACCTTGATAGACACATCAATCCAAATCAGACCAAATTAAACCGAATCAGAAAAAGCCCAGGTTTAATGGGCAAAATGCCCCCGGATAATTTTCTGGTTCCCCCAGAGAGGAGACAGGTAGACCAAAAAAAACACATCTGTTTTCGGTGGGGGGGGGGCAGTTTAAATACCCTGTAGGCATGGTCTTGAGCTTCTCTGTTTACTAGGCTTTCTGAGATGATACAGTGTCTAGGGAGAAAGAGATGGGGGAAAGGGATTGAGGTGGCACTTCCACCAGAACATTCCAGACTCATTGGGTATATGGATGCCAGGGCCTGGGGTGGAGCTTCCAGCAGAACATCTCAGACTCTTTGGAACTATGAATGCCAGGTACTTGGGGTGGAGTTTCCACCTGAACATCCCAGACTCCTTGGGCATAGGGACGCCAGTTCATGCCTGGCTGCTTCCTGCGGGCAGGGGAAGGTGTGAGGAGGGGGAATCAGGAGTCGGTGGGCTCACACTCAGTACAACTAGGGCAGGTATTAATAATCTATTTTTCCTAGCATCTTGCCTTTTCTGCTTGCTCAAGCAACAGATGCCTGAGGTCTCCAGGATGAGTTCATGGATGCTTCTCCACCCACGCGTCCTGCTGAGTGTGAGCCCAGCGACTCCTGATTCCCCCTCCTCACATCTTCCCAAGCAGGAGGCAGCCAGGCATGAACTGGCATCCCTATACCCAAGGAGGCTAGGATGTTCAGGTGGAAATTCCACCCCAGGCCCTGGCATCCATATACCCAAAGAGTCTGGAGTGTTCTGGTGGAAGCACCACCTCAATCCGCCTCTCCCATCTCTCCCCAAACCCTGCCTCATCTCTGAAAGACCAGTGAACACAAATACAATTCCTACCCCAGAGATGCTCAAGACCACTCCTACAAGGTACTTAAACTGCCCTCCAGAAAAGTTTTTTTTTTTTTTTGTCTCTCCTCCCTATCTCCTCTCTGGAGGTCTGGCAAATCATCTGGAAACATTTTACTCATTAAATCCAGGCTTTTTCTGATTCGGTTTGATTTGGATTGCTGCATCGACCATGAGGCTTATTGGGGTGCAGAAACTTTTCATGTCCACTGCTGTGACCCACTAGGCTTGGGTTCTGGAACCCTGACTCGGAACGGTGTCACAGTGGAGAAATGACACACATAGACACATGTACAGTAACGCTGGGGTTCTCCTGCTGCTCCTGGAACCTGAGTTCATCAGGTAGAGCACATGGGGAGGAGCTGGCGAGTGTAGGTCTCTGTAGGATAGCATCTCAGGCAGGAAGAGCTTCAGGAGGAAGAAGCTGCAGCTGCTAGTCTTTGCACACATGGATCACTCACTCAGACACCAATACTCGGTCCCTCTGAGCCTAGCCAAGGAAGGCTTTACCGTTCCTGTGGGGCTGAGGCATTCGAGTCCTAGACACGGCCATGCTCATGCTAACTCACAATTGCCAATGCTCCCTACAATACAGACACTTGTGGTTTTTTGTTTTGTTTTCCCAAGACAGGGCTTCTTTGTGTAGCAGCTCTGGATGTCCTGGAATTCACTTTGTAGACCAGGCTGGCCCCAAACTCCCTGAGATCTGCCTGTCTCTGATATGCAGACAGAACACTGTATACATAATAAATATTTTTTAATATTTATTTATTCATTTATTTATTTATTATGTATACAATATTCTGTCTGTGTGCCTGCAGGCCAGAAGAGGGCACCAGACCTCATTACAGATGGTTGTGAGCCACCATGTGGTTGCTGGGAATTGAACTCAGGACCTTTGGAAGAGCAGGCAATGCTCTTAACCTCTGAGCCATCTCTCCAGCCCACAATCTTTTTTTTTTTTTTTTTTTTTAAAGTGGAAATATCTCACTGTTCCTCATCTAATTTCAGGAGAAAAGATTCCTTACAGCAGGAATTACACTTAATAAATCATCTTTATGTCTAAACAAACAGAAAGGAGAAAATTTGACTGTTCACTAGATACTGTGTGCTTTTAATAGCTCATCACTGGTAACACTTCATAATCAAGAGTAAGTTAACAGGCTAATATGTAAAAATGTGACTTTAATAGGTATGCAGACCAGCTTGCTAGAGAAGCTGACCAAGATACATTGAGGAGATACAAGTGGCCATCTAGAGTTTCTATACTTCATTCTTTTTGCAGAATATTTATTAAGGTTGCTTAATATACAATTTTCATTTGACATTTTGGAAGTCCTTTATTGTAAAGATAATCCTTTTGTCTGGCGACAAACAGCAGCCACAGCGGTCATTCTGGACCTCCACGCTGAAAAGAGAAACAGAAAGCCATGAGACGAAGGACTGAACTGGCCATTATTTATACTATAAAAATGATCTCAGGCTGTCGCTGATTTTTTTCAGACAAGACCTTACTCTGTAGCCCAGACTGGCCTAAAAATTCACTAGATCGCCCAGACTGGTCTCTAAGAAATCACGGCAATCCTCTTTCCTCAGCCTTCTGAGATCTGAGAGTAAAGTTTTAAGCTACCATGCCCACACAGTTTTGATTTTTTTTTCTTTTTTAAAAATATTTACTTATGTTTGTCATAGCCAGAACCTGGAAACAACCTAAATGTCCCTCGATTGAAGAATGATGAGAAAAATATGGTATATTTACACAATGGAGTACTACATGGCAGAAAAAAAATAACGACAGCTTGAATTTTGCAGGAAAATGGATGGAGCTAGAAAACATCATTTTGAGTGAGGTAACCCAGACACAGAAAAGACAATTATCACATGTACTCACTCATAGGTGGTTTTTAAACATAAAGCAAGAACAGCCAGCGACAAACCACAATCCCAGAGAACTTAGACAACAATGCGGACACTAAGAGAGACTTACATAGATCTAATCTACATGGGAAGTAGAAAAAGACAAGATCTCATGAGTAAATTGGGAGCATGGGGACTTTGGGGGAGGATTGAAGAGAGGAGGGGAGAGGCAGGGAGGGGAGCAGAGAAAAATGTAGAGCTCAATAAATATCAATAAAATAAAATTTAAAAAAATATTTACTTATTATGTATATAGGGTTCTGCCTGCATGTGTGCCTGTAGGCCAGAAGAAGGCAACAGATCTCATTAAAGATGGTTGTGAGCTACCATGTGGTTGCTGGGAATTAAACTTGGGACCTCTAGAAGAGAAGTCAGTGCTCTTAACCTCTGAGCCAAAAATCCAGCCTCGGATTAAAAAAAAAAAAAAAAGCTA